TAAGTGAAAAGCATTATGCATTCAAGAAACTTATACCGAAATCGTACTGATGAATTGTGTTTCGAAGCAACGAATTGAACAGTGTGATTGTGTGTGTGCAGTGTTGATGTGATAGTCAGAAGTGATGATAAGAGTGTGACTAATGACTGCGAGTGACGAGCTTCAGTTCGTTGTTTGATAATATTTGTTTGTTGACACAACGATAAGCAGCATCTTTTTTTTTGTCTAGTAGACTACAAAGTACAGTGCTTCAACAGAAATTTGTGCGAATTTCTAGTTCATTCAAATATTATTGAATCGTTTCTTCGCCGGATTTTGCCACCCAACAGTCTTCATTAATATTCACTGATTGAGTTTGAATTTCCTGAAAAACATTCATCGTGTCACAGAGTAAGCACTGAATTACTAGGAATTCATTGAGGGATTCTTTTTGTGCAGAAATTGATTCTGCTGCTTTGATTATTGATCGCGAGAACAAACAAAAATGTGATTACAAGAGGATTACGTGATCCAATCGGTCTCAAGAGAACAACAGAGGTCCTCTAAGCATACCAGCCTCATTGCTAAGCAATCTCATGAACATTCGAATCGGAGGAAACTTAAGACTGGTAACTTTCATGAAGAAAAGGAATAGAATTCGACTGATAATACATCCAATCGTTGCTCTTATTAGTCTGGTGATGAATTTTATCAGTCAGTTAGTGATATCGAAATCAATAAATCAGGTGTGAAAACTGCCTACAGTACGAATGTACATTGCATTTACAATTAAAAACTGGTGAAAACGCCTTCAATAACGCCTCTTAAATTGCATTTGTCTCCTATTCTAGCCATGGGTTAACTGTCGTTCCTTGCTAGATTCACTCGTGATACCCCCAAACGAATACCCACTCGAGCACCAAACATCACATGTTTGGTGCCCAAAGCTGAGCGCGCGGATCGATACTGTTGAATTACTCTGCTTGAGGCAGATCAAATAGCACCACCTATATCACATATGTTTTCATGTTCCCATGTAACTAACCATTATCCATACACATCTGTATTTTTTTAAAAGAAGAAGAAAATTCTCTACTCAATGATTTCAGTAATTCGTAAGGTTATGGAGCAGAGCTGGAAACGCGGTTGGCATGTATGGACATATCTGTGTTAGAGAGAATCACACAAGGTTGGATCGATGCTTCTACCTCTGAGTGCGCGCTTTTACAGTGCGCTGTACTGGTGTTGTGCGGGGAGTCCACGAATTCGGAGTGTCCGTCCCCGATTCTCCGACCTCTTTTTTAGAGGCGGCCATTTTCAGGGACTGTTACTGTCCCCGACTTCTCCAGAATTGTCGGCGCTCCCCGAAATTTCGAGGAGACTCGCCGAAATTCTCCGAAAAAAAAATTAAATTTTAATCTACCGCGTCCTTGCGAGAGATTCGAAGTTGAATATTTAATCATTGTTCGCATGGTTGCTTTTAAAGCCCCACTACCATCCTGTCTCAGCGAACAAGATTAAGATTACGTGACTGTCAACGAATTGATTGGCGCTGCAACGAATTTTTCTTTGTTTTCATCTGTTTTCACCCAAGTTTTTTCCGTTTTCTCCCTTACTTTTGAACGTGTTAGCTGTTATCGATCGTGTTGTGTGCTGTCACGCATGCCTATTAATTATACGAACACATTGACGAGTCATGAATCCGTATGTTAATTCCTTCCCATTTC